ACAAGAAGCAAACTCTCACCTTGTTTCAGTCATGGTTTCTTAGAGTAAGCATTTTTGTTTGTTTTGGCAGGGTCTCCCTATATCCTCCATGCTGACCTGGAACCCATAATCCCCCTGCCTCAGCTGCCCTATAATCCCTGAGGTTATAGGCAGGTGCCATCACATAAACCCTGGAGTAGGATTTCAAATGGAGCATCTTTGGGGGATGGACCAACGTATGGAAAGATCTGGAAACAGGATCCTATCTCCATCTTTAGCTAGTGATGAGGGGAAAAAAAATGAATGACAGCCTGCAATAGCTTGAGTGCCCATGGTGGAAACTTCTGGAATTACTACTCTCTTTCACAGGCCTTTCCCCCTAGAGTCTAGGGCAGGAAGCCTTGTGTCTTTGTGGAGCTGGTTGTTCCCTAACTGCTTGGGGGAGGTAGTGATTGCTTCTTTTTCATTCTATGGAATTGATTAGTGTCCAGCTCATTCTCCCTCGGGAGAATATCTACTGTCTCTGAATCACTCAAGCCATCTTCTACGTGAACAAGGGAGGCGTCAGGATGAAGGGACACTTAATCCTACCTGGTGGTCACCAGGCCATGGTCCCAGCCTGGGCTTCTGCTGTTCTCTCAGTTGAGACCCCTGGGTCCTCAGGTAAAAGTATCCTCAAATGGGAAGTCACTCTTCTGGGTGCTGCTGAGGGCATGTGGTTGCTAGGAGACAGCAGCTTTCTCTGCTTCAGATGACAGGGTCCAGCCTCAGTTCCATTCTTTTCATCCCCACTGTGTGGCCTTGGGCAAATTCCTTAAACTCCTGGGATCAACCTCCTCTTCTAAAAGGTGGGTGTCCAGGAGCCCAGCCCTAGCAGCTCGTGAGGTGTCTGTTCGCGGAGGTTACTGCCTGCCAACTAGCAGCATCATGGCAAATGTGCTTTTTCATTCACTCTTTTTTTTTTTTGTTTAAATTTTTTTTGGGTTATTTTTATTATGAGTGTTTTTGCTCACATGCATGTCTGTGTACCACATGTGTCCCTGGTGCCCTCAGAGGTTAGAAAGGGGCCTCAGAACCCATGAGCTAGAGTTACAGGTGATTGTTGACCCCCGTGTGGGTGTTGGGAATCAAACCCAAGTCTTCTACAAGAGCATCAAGTGTTCTTAACTGCTGCATATTTCAGCCCATGCTTATTCAGTGACCACACGGACTAGCAGGTTTCATTATGGTGCTTTCATACATAGGTTGTTTAGGTTGATCCTTCCCCGCTCCATTTACCCTTTCACCCACTTCAACTTTCCACAAGTGCTCTATTACCCCTTCACCTCCTCAACTCCCTTCCCCCTCTTGGGCCCCTACACAACCCATCTCACATAAATACTATATATGATATATACAGCTGTGGGGGCCCATGCCTTTAATACTGCACTTGGCAGATATCCCTGAGTTCAAGTCTGATCTACATAGGGAGTTCCAGGAGAGCCAGAATCACAGAGACCCTGTCTCATGAAAAAAATAAATAAAAATTAGAAGCTAGAACATATGAGAACATACAGTGTATTTTACAGTTCCTACAAATTTTATATTTTTTAATGGCTGAAATTCCACTTTATATATGCCACATTTTCTTTATCCACTCATTCTTTGATGACTATCTACTTCCCTGCTATTGTGAACAGTGTAACAGCGAACACACGTTACACAGAGATGCTCATGTCTGTGAGGCAGTGTGATGATCTGGTGTGTCAAGCACTTGCTGCTGAGGTTGGCAACCTGAGTCCAATCTTTGGAATCCACGTGGTGGAAGGAAAGAACCGGCTCCTACAAATTGTCTTCTCACCTCCACATGGGCTTTGTGGTATGTACATGTGTCGCTTCCCCCAGTAAAGAAATATAATAAAAAGTATCTCTGTATGATGGCTCAGCCCTATAGCAATGCTGTTCTCAGTCAGAGATACTGCCTCAAAAAGTGAGGTGGGGAGCGACAGAAGACAGCATCTTATGTTGGTCTCCGGTCTCCAAACGCACACATGCACACCCAAACGTGTTCACATGTGCAGCACACACACATACACACATACGAATTTCAAGATGGTAACTAAGCTGAAGCCCTGTAAAGCGTGTGGTGGGACACAGTGTGATGACCCAGCCCCCACGAGGAAAAGGGTGGGGCCCCTGGATTCATCCCAGCTGGCCCAGGGGCACCACAAGCCCAGCTTTGTTATTTTCATTTCTAACCATTGTAATTAAAAGCTCCAACGTCTCATCCTTTTTTTAAGTTTATTTTTTCTCAATATGCAAATAGGAATGGTTTCCAATGGCTGTTATTCCAGTGTAATTCTTTCCAAAAAATCCAAAAACGCAAAACATGTCTGTGTCTATGGAAATGTAGATGGAAGATCTATCAGGAGGGGACATTTGTGCTTGTTTACTGTATTGACGTGTCCAGGGTTTTGATATATTGCATCACAATACAGACTGCTAGGCATCTTAGAAAGGTTTAGCTTCATATTTTACTCTAGATTGCTTCTCTTCACAGCAAAAGTAAGCCATGCCAGTGTTTAGGAACCAATAATATCAATTCATTCAAATTTAATGACAGTTTATTAAACTAAGAATCTCATATCACAGAGCATTCACAGTGCAGGAGGTCACAGTTATTGAAAAAATAAATAGCGACAGAAATATATTTATTATTTACAGCTTTCCAACCCCTTGCTCCTGCTCTGCCTGTTAGAGAATGAACAAAGATGGCACTGCTCAGCCCAGCATGCCACGGATGTCTTGCGGGCACTTGGTGGCATATGGATGGCCTCAGAAGTTCTCGGGCTGGAGTGTTTTTAAGGAGGCTCTTTTAGGATTCAAGACTCTCTGCCTCCATCTGCTGTGACCTGGTCAGGCGAGACTGTGTTGAGAAAAGGTCCAGATCCCCTGGGAAGACTGTGCCCAGCCTGGCCCTTGGCATGTTGGATGTTCTTGTCCATCTCATGCCCAGGTTGCCTTGGCAGTCCTACCTCTGCCCCTGGATCTGGCGCAGCTGGCTGGCAGCCTTCTGTTGCCTCTGTGTAATCAGACATCAGGAAGGACTTTGGAGACACGGGGGAGGGCACCCTTCCAGGAGAGAATGCTCTGAATGGCACATTCAGCCTCACCGACTAGCAGCCAACCCTCCACAGACTGGAGATCCCCAAAAGTCAGTCACAGTGGATCAGCCATGGCTTTGTCTGCCGGGTCCCCAAATGAGCTTGGTGAAGGTCCCGTGGAGGAAGCCTGAACATAGTCACAGGGTCCACAGCTCAGAGGAGAGGGGTAGTTGCTCAAAGTGAGGCAGGACACCCGGCAGCCAGAACCCCCATCAGAGCACGCACTTCACTTAGAGGAGCAGAGTGACCCTGTCTAGGTCCCAGGCATGGTCAGAAGTCCTCTCCTACTGGAAAAGGATTGCGTGCTTCCTCTGGAGTGAACCCCAAAACTTCCCTGCAGGAAATTCTAGAGTGATAAAGGGTGAGTGTTGTCTTAGACCTTTCCATAGTAGACAAAAGTGGATCACACCAAACCCAAAATCACGTGGTCTCTTCTATTAATAGCTAAAAACAACAACAGATAAACTCGTTTTCTAAGGACGGAGCAGGGAAGGCCCCGGATTAAGGATTTTCTTGAACTCATGGATGGAAAAGCCACAGCTAGCATTGTGCCTGAGCAGCCGCTGCTTGGCTTATGACAGTCCTGTGGAAAGAAATGTGGGTCATGCTGGCATCTATCCTGGGTTTTTACAAGGAGTAGGCAAGCCCTGGCCCTGTCAGTGTAACGGACAGACAAGCCACCCAGCCACAGCCTTGCCCTTCACAGAAGGAGACTGTGTTCTCAGCGCTTAGACACTTCCCAGAGCCCCCAGGACTACACCAGGGCGCTGTAGAGGAGATTGGATTTCAGCCCTGCTGAGGGGCGTGGAGGAAGCGATGCAACTTGTACAACTGGACGGAAAAGAAAGCGGGTAGAAGAGCTTTAGAAGCACAGGGTAAAAGACGCCTCAGCAGGGAGCCCTGACTCCCTCACAGTGCGTGTGTGGGTAGATGGGTGGGTATCTGAGGAGTCAGTAGCATGGAAACTGGAAGGCAAAGATGGCTGAAAAGCTGTAATGCTTAATGCTCCCCCACTGCCCCCAGGGTGACCAAAGCGTCTAGATCACTCAGCTGGCTTCCCTAAAGGGATTGCGCCTCCTAGGTGGCGGAAGTGGAGAAACGTGCCCCCTCTCCCAGATGCATGAAGACATGCATTTGCTTGTACTAGGTGGCACGGTGATGAAGGGACATTGTCCCAAGTCCAGACATGAAATGAATCACAAGGCTAGTACTCAGGTTGAGGCTGCTTTTTATCAAAAAAATAACCATCAGCAGTGTCCGACGCACAGCCTTGGGGCACAGCAATTTGTAAACCTACTTAAAACATTAGGGGATTTTTTGGGGGGGATATATAATACATATATACATATATGTATGTATATATTTGGGTTATGCTATATTTATATTTGGTAACATATACACACACATGTATATGTATGTATATGTCTGGGTGTACGAGATATATATATGGTAACATGACAGCATGAATATGAACTCTGTAGCTGATGCTATGGCTTCAGAGATGCCAACCACGGAACACTCTGTTGACTATGCCTGGGAACGTGCCTTTTAGGCATCCGTGCTCTGCAACAAAGCAAAACCTCATTCATGCAAGCGAGACTGGAAGAAGGCAGGCTGTGTTCACAGAGTCCCCTCTTCTGTGCCCTGTGGGCAGAGACCACAAACGTCTCTCTCCTGTGCCCACAGAACTGACAGTGGGAAGAGTTGCCTAGAAAATAGAAAGGCCCCCTTCTCTAGACCAGTGTTTCTCAACCTTCCTATGGCTAATGAACCCTTTAATGCAGCTCCTCATGTTGTGGGGACTCCCAGCCATAAAATTATTTTCATTGCTACTTCATAACTGCAATCTTGCTACTGCTATGAATCATAATGTAAATATCTGTGTTTTCTGATGGTTTTAGGAGGCCCCTGTGAAAAGGTCATTTGACTCCCCCCAAAGGGGTTGAGATTCACAGGTTGAGAACCACTGCACTAGACTTTGAGGAAGCCTAGTTGGGGTATGAGTTTTGAGGGGCTCATGAGATGTGACAAGCTGCAGAGACCAGAGAACCAAGGTGAAGTGTTCTCACCTGGAGAAAGTGTACACAGGGACAGAGGGATCTGGGCTCAGGGAGACAGGGCCTTAGGTAGTCAACTGGTAGGAATCAGGACTTCTTGTCACTCAAGAGTTAATAGGAGAACATTTTCAAAAATTTCTAGAACTTTCTATGTACACGTCATTACATCTGAGCCATCCCAGGGTATGGTTCCCCTCAGGATGTGTCCTGGATACATCTGCTCACTGCTCTAGAGAAGGACAACTCCTGTGGAGATTGTGTTGGGAGACAGAGCTCCTCTGGCAAGCATTTAAAACCTGGCTGATGGGTTCAGTCTCCTGGCAATTTTAACTCTAACCAGCAAGTTCTTTGTCCTGTCAGCACCTACCTAGAGCGCAGCCATCTCGTCCACCCATTTACAAGGGTACCTTACAAAGGAGGGAAAGGCAGGTGGCAAAGAGAGGACCGAGCCTTCCCCCAGGGGCACAGGCAGGATTGGGATAGTGTGCAGGTGGAGATAGTGCCTTGGTGGGTTCAAAGGTATGCACTACTCGCTGCTGATTTCCAGGGGGAGAGAAGCCAAGGTGGACTAGAAGGTCACTGATATAGTATGGGACAAGGGCAGTACAACTTTACACCCAAGAGAGTGGGGAGGCCACAGGAGTCCAGTGCTGTGCTGGACTCTCTCCTGCTTTCCCAGGAGAAATGATACAAACCTGCCTTGGTCCCCATTGTCTCTCTGTCCACAGGTTGCCCCACCTGTAAAGGATTCAGGGAGGAGAGAGGCTGGGAGAGAGACAGACATAAGTGAACATAGAAATTTATGCTTGTTTTTCTGCCTCCAAGGAGACAAGAAGCTAAGTGTATTTTTTTTTAACTGCATTTCTTTTGAAGCAAAAATAATTATACCATGCTAACTTAACTTTAGGGATAAAACAAAGTAATTCTGTATAGCAATGGAAGCACTTTTTTTAAAAAAGGCCTATATCACCAAATGAATCTTTAAACTCATGAGGAAAAAGTGTTTGGTTAAAAACAGAGAACTTTTGCCTTTCAGCCTGTAGTTTCCTAGACATGAGAGATGCCCAGAGCCTTCGAGGCGCATTGGCACATTAAAGACCAGAGGCAACAGTCAGAAGCGTGCTCTACATACTGAAAGCACAATTCTCCATTTCTAACTGCAGCTGTGAGACACTTTCCAGCTTCCAGCAGATTCTGAAGGAGGGGGGAGGCAGCTGGGATGTTCTCTGAAAGCCATACAAGGACTCAGAGGGTCGCAACCCTCAGAGGCTGTGGTTTGTGCTCTAACATCATCTAAGAAATAGTATTTGGTCTTTTTTTCCCCCTCAGGAAAAACTAGGGACATTCAAAAAGGGCAGGTGTTAGAATATGATTCGGGAAACTTCTGGGTAAATTAAATATTCCATGGGGCCTTGAGCCAAGAACTAAGATTCATACATCTCCACTCAGGGCAAAGTCAGACTCACGCCACTGTGCCAGCCTGGTCAATCAGGGGTCCTAGCTAACTTGGGAGGGGTGACGGGTTCCTTTGTCCCCAGCTTTGCTACATTCTGCAGCTAAACTAGATCCACATGACGGCAATTGCGGATGAAATGAGAATAATCCAAGCTTACATTTTAGAGCAGTTAGGGGGCTCCAAGGGGAAACAGAAGCACTCAGAGCTAGCACATGCCTGTGAAGGGAGGTGTGTGTGTGTGTGTGCGCGCGTGCGTGCGCGCGCACATGGGCCTAGAGTAACTCTGAAGCCTCTTGCAGCTTGAGTTTATACTGAGGTGCACCTTCAGGCTCCTTCCCTCAGGCTTAGCTATTCTTTTTAAGGGAAATTCTGCTGTCTCACTCTGAAGACCACCGAGCTTATCCAGACAGACAAAAAGCAAAGCCTGGACTCAGTTGAGCCTTCTAATACTGATGTGAACCTCAAATTGAAGGCTGGTAATGGGAGCAAGGTCTCATCATAGTTCTGCCTAAGGGAACACAAGCCTGAATACTTCGTCCCCTGAAATCTGGAGAATATCACTACAGATTCCACCATGGGCCCAGAAGGACTCTGCTGCTGGATTTGCAGTGGCCACCAAGGTTAAAATCACTAAAAACCCCCTCTCTCATTACCCTGGGTCATCCCCGTGCCTTCTACTGTGCAAAATAGCTCAGTATTCAAAGTGCATCAGACCTGATAGACTTTTTGCAATAGAAACATTAAAAAAATAAAAACCTCACTATATAAAATTAATTTGTGCTTTCTCATTAGAATCCAGGAATGGTTTATAGTCGTGAATCTGTCACACAGAGATTTCAGAGCTACGAGGCCGTCAAACACCGTTTCGTGTTCGCCTGTGTTTGGGTCCATCGCCCATCCCTGGCCTTGCCTGTGAAGTTGAAACACTCAGCTCTAAAAGTTCTACGGTCCGTTTCTCACACTTGGCTTCAGCAAATCAGGACAGAGGGGTCTGCGGATGCTCTCTCTTCTCATTAACCATCACTTCTGCAACTGGCTGGGCATGGAAACAACTGGGTCCTTCAGGGCGGTGTGGAAAGTAGAGCATTAACAGAGAAGCTGACAGACCCGAAGGGGCGGTGCGTGGCATCCTAAGGTCTGAAATGAGTCGCTGGGACTACATTCCCCACTGTGCCTCCGAGTTAGCACCTGTTTCTGTGTGGTCGTCCGCCATTTTTTTTTTTTCTATATTCCAAACCAAATCGTCTTGGAGCCAGCACAAGATGACACACAAAAGGTTCATTTTGTTTTTTTCTCCAAGGGTAACCGTTTTGGTCCCTGTCAATGATCCTTTTGTGGAATGATAGTCTTCAAGTATGATGATCTATGTGTGATGTTTTATTTTTGATATTTCATTGCTCATCTTTTGAATGTGTCAATAAGAAGGATAACAGTATTTGCTTGCTTTCCTCTCCTCTATTGGGAAATGATGTGTCCATGCTTCTTATTTTTTTTTCTATAACTGCAGTGGTCTCAATCCCCTGCAGGTGAATGTCTTGTCTCTTCCAGGTTTCCAGTGTTCCCAGCAGAGCTGGATGCTCATGGTGACACACTCGGCCTTCTCCGGACCCAGAGGTGACACTTGCCAATCACAGTCCCACTCATCTGGGACACCTCCTGTTCACTGACTGACTCAGTTCTGAGGCTGCCCATGGAACAGAAAGACACACGGCACACGGAAGTCCTGGCGACTAAAGTGTGCAAGAGAGAAGAGACATGATGTGTCCCCGCAGCCAAGAGAGTCTGTGGAGCTGCTCAAATAATGCCTGGCCCCTGCCCTGCAGGAACAGATACCCTGCGGCTGGGACCACGACCAAAGACCATGGTTGCCCTTCCTTCCAGCTCATGAAAGGATTGACAGCGGCTGCCAAGGCAGGAGAGACCTGTGTGGAGAAGGAGAGAGAGAGGATGCCAGCATCATGGTGGCCACAGCAGTTTCCCGGGCAACAGCTCAGCGTTAGTCGTCTTCTCGGCACATGGGCAAGTTGACGAAGGTAAAGACATTAAACTCTATCATTATGGAGAAGCACAGGAAGACAGCATAGAGGACCAGCACGTAGATGCCCAGCTTCCGGTCCAGGCGCCATTTGTTGAGGTGGATGCCAAGGACCTGGAAGGAGACAAGCGGAGAGCTAGGCTTGGTGAGGCTGAGAGACCCAAAGGCCCTTTTTCACCAAACCTAACAGTATAGACTCCAGATTTTATAAAATGTTCAAGATTCTGGTCCAGTTGAGTCTAGACTCTGGTTGAATCCACAGTAGCCAGTCTCCCATACTGGCCCTCCGCTAAGACACAGGCTACTTCCTCACAGTGTGACATGTCCTCACCATGGCCCTTCTCGAAGGAAACCAGACCTTCCCCTTTGCCACAGAACTTGGCATTATAACTGTTTCCCTTTAGCACATTTCCCAGGCTCATTCGAGCCATTCTGGGTGAACTTCTGCTTGACCCAACCCTGCCGCTTTGCTGCGCGTATGTTGGGGGACGAAGCTCCCTCTGACTCTTATCCCTGAATCAAGGCTTTTCTGGAATGGATCACAGATGCCTCCCCAGAGCACAGAGCTCTGTAAAGACAGAGCAGCCTGGCTTCAAACCACATTTTTGCTGCTTGCTAAATCCACGGCCTTGTGCAAACTGCTTAACTCCTGAGCCTTAATTTCTTCGGCAAAATGGGAATAATAGTACCTTCCTCATCAGGAGTGGCAAGGGCCAAATAAAATGCCACAGACAAAAAGTGCACAGCATAGGTCTGTGCATGAGAGCCGTGGGGAGCGCATTGTCATTACATGCTATCCTGAGGACTGTCATGTCCCCCGTTTTTCAGCTCAGCATGTGAGGAGAATTTCTCTCTCACTGGACCAGTCAGAAAGAAATGAAATGTAACCATATGACATGACAACCCTAGGACACTTTTGTATGTGTGTGTGTGTGCACACACATGCATACATGTATGTGGGTACTTGTAAAGGCCGGAGGACAACCTTGGTTATCATTTCTCAAATGTTATTTACTTCCTTTTGAGATAAAATCTCTCACTGAACCTGGAACATTCTAACATGGCTAGGTTGGGTGGCCAGAGAGTCTCTAAAAACCTTCCTGTCTCTGCTTTCCTTACTCTCGAATTGTAAGTGTGTACTCGAATTACAAGTGTGCATCATTAGAACCCCTTATTTTAACAACAAAGGTTCTGGGACTCAAACTCAGGTCTTTGGCCTTCACTGACCAAGCTCACTGCCCAGGTTCCCTGGTGACATCTTATTTGCTCAGGATGAAGTACCATGGTGGCTGAAGTTTCTCTTGGAAGAAAGAAAGAGAGAGAGAGAGAGAGAGAGAGAGAGAGAGAGAGAGAGAGAGAGAAGGAGGGAGAAGGGAGGGAGGAAAGGAGGGAGGGAGAAAGAAACAAAGAAAAAGAAAATCGGTTTTGGCTATTTTTGAGCACACACATCTCCTTGGCAGAGATGTATATGTTTGCCAAATAAGATGTATACATGTGCACCATCCTGAACTGGATGAAATGAAATGTGCACAATGGTCCCATTTGAAGCTAAAACTCACAGTGAGAGCGACGGAGCCCAGCAGCAGCACCACGGAATAGACGAGACCCCGGCTGTTGATCTTCACCTGGAAAGCGAAGCACACAGGCCACAAAGCTGGAGTTAGTCTATCCCAAAAGCCCAGCCCTCTTCAGAATATTCATTCTTCCCTTTGGGAAACACAGGGCTTCCTCAGATGAGCATGCAGGAATGGTCAGGACCTCATACAAGGGGGAGTCACAGGGTTCATCAGGAAGTCACAGTCATAGGGTTCATCAGGAAGTGGCCCAGGATGGAGATAGGTGCTAGTGGGCTTAAGCCAACGGAAGAGACAGCACTGAGCATGTAGTAAGCATGGACTCCTCCTGCAGGCAGGACTAGGCCGTTCTAGAAGCCATCAAAGAGAGTGGGAGCTAAGGACAAAGGGTAAGACATCTCTCCAGAACTTCAGGCTGGAACTGGGTGGGCACCATCCTTCCCTCTGAAACATACCTATATCCTTCTTTAGGAAGTGGCAGGACTTACCGTGGATCCATAATTAATAACCATGGTCTGCAGGCCCCAAGGGATGCCAAGCCCCACCAGAATGTCAAACACGTTGCTTCCAATGGTGTTAGAGACTGCCATGTCTCCAAGGCCTGGGGGATAAGCAACACATTCCTTCCATCAGGAGTTGGTCTCAGGGAACCCCCCAATCCCTCTCTGAACCCCTCTATCAGTGCTGTTCAAGGGAAGGAGTCCTTCGTGGACTCTACGCTTGTAAAAATTTCTGTGGGGTCTAAGACTCCCCTTTTTATCAGGAGACCTACAGGACCCATTGGTAAGCTGAATCTGTATGTGGACGTCCTAACCCCACAGCAGCACTTCAGGAGGTGGCCTTATTTGGAGGGAATGGGTTACGATGAAGGTTATGATGGCTTACCAGGTATCAACAGTACACAGGAGGAAACCACGGAAGCACAAAGGTGGCCAAGTGGAGCTGGGAGAGGAAAAGGAGTCTCCCTCATAGCTGCCAAAGGTGCCAACCCTGCCCACCCCTGACCTTGACTTTCTAGCTTCCAGAAATGTGAGATGTAAATACTGTTTGCCCCTCTGCCAATACCGGTTCTAGCAAAAGAACACAGGTTCCTCCATTATCCTCCTGTCGGGTTCAGTTGCCATTGCCAAGGGCCCACCGCCGGTTCTGCCTCCTTTAGTTCCCCCATCTATGCTGGGTTTGGGTGGGTCCACCACTCTCAAGTGGCAGGTGACCAAGGCTAACACTTTGCTAGAGGCTCAGATTCAGGATGTTGGTCTGGTATCTTTCTACGAAGCCATGATGTATATTTGTGCCTAGACAGTGGCATCCATGACCTTATCTGAGGATCACATAGTATCAACTCTTACATTCTGGTGGTTTCTGAAGCTTGACCTTTCTCTTTCTAATCAGTGGCCATTGTTCCCCTTCCTGCCCCACTGTCCAAGATCCTGTTGGTCACAAAGCTGAGGCACTTCCTCTCTTGAGGTGGGGATCACGAATTAGAACACATTTTAAGAAAAGACTCAGGTTGACTGGACTCTGACATTGAAAGCCGGCACCCACAAATGTAGGCACAGAGGGAACAAGCCTGAAACACGAATGTGTAAGAATATAACATCACTTTGGTAGCTGTGACATTCATCATTAAGTCTGCCCAGCATCCAGACCTGTCTCTTCACTACCCTCCAGTTTGCCCAGCCACTCCTTCTCCCTCGTTCTCACTGCTGTCCTCTGATGACCCCCGGCACATGCCTCTTCCTCCTTGGTAAGAAGAACTTCAGAATCTTGGTAGCTTAGGGCTCTGAGGTCTGGATCTCCATGACCCTGGACTACTAGACTCTTAGCCTCTAGCAGCTTAAAGCAATGTGCAGTGATTGTTTGGGCCCAGCTACTTGTACCTGGTGAGGACAGGCTAAAGATGTTGGAGTTTAGAGACAGGGAGCAGGGTGAGGGAATGGGGTGGGGAATGAGTACATCTCTCTGAGCTGCACAGGTGACTGGGAGCCTTAGGGCAGTGTGCACCTTAATGAACACACAAGTCACCTGGGGCTTTTGTAACCTGCAGGGCTGGTGCAGGGCCTGAGGGTCTGGGTGTAATGTGAGCGCCCCAGTCAATCCCTACAGGGCTTTGCTTTGACCTGCAGGGAACCGGTGGGGAGGCCTGGTACAGAAGCTCCTGTTGGAGAATCTGTATGATCTCCTGCTTCATGTAGTTGGCTTTGAATGGGGGCCTTTGTCACAGAGAAGTTTCTAACCCTGGCCATATCCTCTGGGTTCTGTGGATCAATCACATCATTGTTACCTTATGACAGCTTTGTACCCCAAGCCCTGGCCCCATTCACACTTCTCCCACTGTAGATAGAGGGAGCCAGTGTCCTACTATAGGACTCTGCTTGTTCCCCTTTTCCTAAATAAGACCCTTCACTGGCAATGCTTCCTCCTAGTCAGGGTTTAAACCAAGCATCCTTCTGTCTTGTCTTTCCCTGGCGCCCACTCAGGACTGACTTTCTCACCTGTGTGCTGTGGAGTATACATGAGACTGACTTTGCCCAGGTTCATGTGACTGAATGCCAGCAAGGCCCCCGTGTTGCTCAGTGTTCTTTTCACTTTCTGTATTCATGTATGGAGCTGCCCCTACCCTTGCCTCCATGTCACGGTCACCTGAAGCCCCTGACTGTGACTGAACGTAGGATTTTTACAGATGCCATCAAATGAGGTTATACAGAATCAAGCAGGCTGGAATCCAGCGACAACTGTTCTTATAAGAAGGCAGCGTGGCTACAGAAACACAGAGAGACACAGTTTGTAACAACGAAACAGCCTAAGGGGTACAGCTACCGGCCCAGGAAGCCCAAGAGCTGCAGTTCACAGGAGGAGCCAAGCAGGCTCTTCCTGGACCGTGAAGAGCGGGCAGGCCTCTTAGACACCAGGCCCCAGGTTTCAGACTTTGAGTAAGGTTAAGTTTGGTTGTGTTGATCTGCCCTAGGAAGGTCACCCAATTAAATTTCATTCCCCTCAGCTGCTGCATCCAATGGCCTCTAACTCTGTCAGGTACCTGCCTATCTCATGTTCTCACGATGCCTTCTTTTCATGCCATTCTCTCAGCCTTTGTATGTCCTGAAGGAATGTGTCCTTATTTCCTGAGCCTACCTTTCTCCACGGTGCTCCCTCTTCTCCTGTCTCCTGAGGATACTCCCCCTCCCACGGACTTTTAAACTCTTGCCTCCCAGGAAGCCATGTGCTAGCCCAGTATGGGATGCTCTCTCCTTGGTAGAGAGGCACTTAAGGATGAAAGGGCAGGTTTAGCAGCTCTTTGGTTTTGCCATCAAGAATTGTGAATTGTTCCCCATTTTGCTCAACCTGGGTCACTTCATAAGCCATAAAGAAAACCAATATACAAAGCAAAGCACCTCCCAACCTCTGGAATTCAGAACAGGAAAGCTCCGCTGTCTAGAATTTTCATGATGCCTGCCGGAGACAGACACGGTTCTTGTTTGTTTTGGTTTAAATCTAAAATGTTTCCAATAGGCTCATGTCCTGAACACATGTTCCTCAGATGGTGGCACTGTTTGGGGACACTGTGCAGCCACTGGGAAGTGGAGTCTAACTTGTGAAAGTAGGTCACTGTTTCTGGCCCCTGGTTCCAATCCACCACGATGTGAAGACTCGCTACCACCCATGTCCAGTGCCACGTTTGTCCCGTGCCACGTTCGTCCAGTGCCACGTTCTACCCTGCAGTCCTTGTTGTGATGGGCTGAGCTCTCAGGAAACCAGGAGCAAAGATAATGCTTTCTTCCCTTAAGTCATTTTGGTCAGGTAATTTGGCCACGGCAGCTACAAAAGTAACTAATGTATATAATCGCTCATTTGCTGTTGACTTCCAAGTTGAGGCTCCATTTCCAACTCATATGGTAACCTCAGGACATGCCTCCTTTAAAACCACCACATAGGAACACCCTTCGAAAGATCTAGGGGAGTCCATCTTTGTATTAGGGGTAGTGTGGCTTTTTCTTCCCGGCATATCAAGATCGTTCCATATCCATCATGGAACAAAGATAACCTTGGCCCTGTAGTCATGACAACGACTTGAGAACAATACAGTGACAGTTGGGCCTATGGTTGACTTCTCAAGCAGGAGAGGAATTCTACCACTGCTCCTTCCTACCTCCTGGCTACACAAGGCTCCAGCATCCTCCTCTCTACCACTCACCCCTGCCTCCTAGTTACAAAAGCATACTGGCTCTAGTATCCCTCTTCTTACCACTTCCACCTATCTCCTAGTTAGACAAAAGCCTATAGGCTCCAGCATCCCCCTCCCCAATGCTCACCCCTGCCTCCTAGTTACAAAAGCATGTTGGCTCTAGTATTTCTCTTCCTACCACTTCTACCCATCTCCTAGTTACACAAAGCCTATAGGCTCCAGCATCCCGCTCCCCACCGCTCACCCCTGCCTCCTAGTTACAAAAGTATACTGGCTCTAGTACTCCTCTCCCTACCACTTCCACTGATCTCCTAGTTACATAAAGCCTATCGGTTCCAGCATCCCCTTCCTCACCACTTACACCTGCTTCCTGGTTACACAAGGCCTGTTGGCTCTAGCATCCCCCTCCCACCACTCACCCCCTGCCTCCTGGTTACACAAGCATATTGGCTCTAGCATCCCTCTTCCTACCACTCCCCCCTGCTTCCAGCTAGACAAGGCCTGTTGGCTCTAGCATGCCCCTCCCCACTAGAGCCTGCACAGCTGTGACACTGGAAGGACTGATGGGTGGCATCTATGATGCAGCTTCCATCATGAGGTTGTCAGACATGGTGGGGTGGGACTTCCTAGCGGTGCAGCTGTTTGGAGATTTCCCACGTTCCTGTAAGTAGCCCCTTGCTCACCCATGCTCTGTAAGTAATCCCAAGCTAGAGTTAGATGATATCATTTCTTTAGTCTGTCATGGGTGCCCTATGTGGTGTAAACAGAAATCTGTTCATGTCTCCTCAGGAACAGTGACACAACAGGAGTCTCTCCACAAGGGAATCTAATAAATAGCAAATTTTAGACACCATGGTTGGCCTCTGAGCGGGACCTGACAACTTCCCCTCGTAAGAGCCATAACTCAGCCAGTGGAGGCGGGGAGCTTGCTGGGGGTGCAGGCGTTGAGGCTCAGTTCATACCTTGTCTTGCCACAATTAAGCTGGCCATGCAGTCTGGAACACTTGTGCCTGCTGCCAGGAAGGTGATGCCCATGATGACATCAGGGATCCCAAGAGTGTATCCAATAATAGTCACCTGCAGAAGAGGCCAGGGTCAGAGATGGGGTGAACTCACAGTGCAGCCCTGGAAACTCTCCTTACCCTTGTACTTTGAGTTTTCCTGCTTCCATCTACCTCCTAAAAGCTGGGCTTACAGGCATGCAACACCACACCTGGTTTGAGCAGTGCTGGGGATTGAAGCCAGGGCTTTATGCACACCGGAGAAGCATTTGACTAATGGAGCTACAGCCTTAGCTTCTTAAAGAAAAGATTAAGACAGGATCTTACTATGTAGTCTTAGCTAGCCTGGAACTATGCAGACCAGGCTGGCCTCAAACTCAGAGATTCTCCTGTCTCTGCCTCCCCAGCGCTGGAATTAAAGGCGAGTGCAACCATGCTCAGCAAGGAAATCTTTGCTTGTTTTTTTCCCCCTGATCTTGCATTAACTGCTTATTGCTTTAAAAACTTTCTTTGAAGTTGTTTTCCCTTTTATTTACTTTTTATGTGTATGAGAGTTTTGCGTGCATGTACTACCCAAGGAGGCCAGAAGAAGCCTCAGATCCCCTGGAACTGGAGTTACAGATGGTTGTGAGCTGTCATGTGGGTGATGAGAATTGAATCTGGATCCTCTGGGTTATCCATCTCTCCAGCCCGACATTAAACATTTTTATATAATAAGCTGAAAATGACAGTTAACTACCATTTTTAAAGAGCCATCAATAACCACTACAAACACATCGTATCTGTAGGAGGGTCCCAAACTTGAGGACGTAGACAATCCCTTGGAGGCTTGTTAGAACCAGACCACCAGGTCTTGCCCCAGAGTCCCAGCATGAGGACTAACAACTTCCAGGTGATTAATACCCTGAAGCTGCTGGTCTGGGAACATATGAAGATGTCTGTACGTCCTTGACTGTTCATTTGGAGTATATGTTAGGAGAAAAGGGAGGTCAGATCATATTATCACTATCCATTTTGTAACTGCTTGTTTTATGTAATAATATCCACGAATATGTCTCCATGCACAACCACCACCTGAACACATTTTACAATGATGCTTAGATTTCACTGTGTGGTCTGCGCATTATAACTCATCCCTCACTAATATTCCGATGGCTTCTTGTTGGATCTCTATCGGGGACTTACTGTATTCCAGGCACTCTACAAAGGCATCTTACTCTCTGTCTTAGTCAGGGTTCTATTGCTGCGAAGAGACACCATGACCATGACAACTCTTATAAAGGAAAACATTTAATTGTGGTGGCTTACAGTTTCAGCCATTTAGCCCATTATCATCAAGGTGGGACATGGCAGCCATGCAGGCAGACACGGTGCTGGAGCAGGAGCTGAGAGTTCTACATCTTGTGCAGGCAACAGGAAGTGGTCTGAGGCACTGGGAGTGGCTTGAGCATAGGAGATCTCAAAGCCCGCCTCCACAGTGTCACTCTTCCTCTAATAAGGCCACACTTTCTAAAGGTGCCACTCTCTTTGGGGGCCATTTCTTCAAATCACCACACTTTCATAATCTTATCTGTTCTATTATTTACTGCCTACTGGTGAGGAGGACACTATTGTTATGCCAAATAAGAACCAGAGAGTTAAGTACCAATGCCCATGGGCACCATGCTTGCCATGGAGCGTGTACTCCCAGCCAAATGCTCCAATCTCCTCTTCATCAATGTGTCTGTATGTCAATCTCTGAATTGTCATCTCTTTACTTCCTCAGGAGAAACTCCAAGACACAAACCTGCTGGATCAAAGACTTTGCAAGAAGATCTTGAATTCATAGTCACACTGTCTGCCAGTGAATGTCATTTGAGATAATGACACCGGAGAGCTGACTGGGGCTATTAGTAGCAGCGTTGGTCAGCAAGATAGAAAGTCTTAGAGGCATTTGGACCACCCTGGTTTACCCCTTGGCTGTAACTTGCCTCTTTTCACAGATCAGCAGCAGTGGTGTCCTTCAGAACTGATCATATTTCAGCTGTGATAGTTTTAATTGTCAACTTGACACAAATTAGAGTTATTGGGAAGGAAGAAACCTCACTTGAGAAAATGTGTCCATAAGATACAGCTGTAGGGCTTTTTCTTAATTAGTGATTAATAGGCAAGGGCCCACACTATTGTGGGTGGTGCCATCCCTGGGCTGGTAGTCCTGTGTTCTATAAGAATGCAGGCTGATCAAGCCATGAGAAGCAAACCAGTAAGCAGCTCCCAACCATGGCCTCTGCATTAGCTTCTGCCTACATGTCCTTGCCTAGTTTGTGTTCCTGCCCTGATTTCCTTCAGTGATAAACAGTGATGTGGAAGCACAGCCAAATAAACCTTTTTCTCCCCAAGTTCCTTTGGTCATATTTTTTTTTCATTATAACAACAGAAATCCTAAGATAACCTTAGAATTACCTGGGAAGATAGTATCAAGTCAGGATTGTCTAGAGGAGGTTGGCCTGTGGGCATGTGGGGGGGATTGTTTAATTGTGTTAATTGATACCAGAAACCCCAGCCCACTATGGGTAGCACCATTCCCTGGGCTTGGGTCCTGAACTGTAGAAGAGTGAAGGAAGAGCCTAACCTGGGCCCTAAGCATTCATGCATTCACTTCTCTCTCTGTTCTTGAGTGTGCATGTGATATGACTGGCAGTGTTAAGTTCCTTTTGGTTGCTTTCTGTCCAGGTATTTTTTCAACATTAATGAAACTAGGACACTGGTTAATGATTCCAGTCCCAGAAACTGCTGTATGACTTTGGACAGTCAGGCTTGCTTCTCTGAGCCGAAGCCCTCTCGTGGGCTCATGGCAAAGATGAAATGAGGAAGTGTAATGTGAATACCTGGCCAGGGCCACATGGCCATGGTGCAAGGTTTCCTTCTATTTCAATCACTTGTTTGTATTCTATGGGGACAGGAAAATGAGAGCAATCAGATTTCAGAGCCCCAGACTAAAGGTGCTTCCCAAGAGCCAGGCTTAGCCACTATGTGGAGATTACAGAAACAGCCCTGGGAGAAGAACAACAGATGAGTTTGAACACACTGCCCACATTGACAGAGGGTTCAACACCCTATCAAGTACCCCTGCTCTTGAGTAGGGACAGACAGACAGACACACTTCATTTTCTCAGACAGTGGCACAAAGCAAACATGCCCTGGACTTGGAAGGAGGGATCAGGAAGGGGATAAAAGAGCCTGACTGATCCATCATCACCGAGTTCACACTGTTGACCAAAGCTGTCCGCACAAGCCACTGGCTGTGACATATGAGTTTTGAATTGGTGACGCTGGCCATATTAAGGGTAGTAACTGAGCTACCACATGTGGAGCTGCTAGAATTGACTCTCCTTAAACCACGGAACTGTGTGGCTAAGAAACAGCAGGGGGAGCAGAAGATGGGCACGGTATGTAGGTACGTCCACATACTTCAGAGTCTGAGGGATGTCACATGGACCTTATTCTACCCTGAACTCAAACCCCAGTGTTCCAGATATGCAGGCTTTGAATGGAAAGCAGAGCCATGTTCCCAGCTTCTCTTTGTTCCTCAGTTTCCCCAATTGTGGTTTAGAAAGAACAGTCCATTTGAAGGTCCCTTTGCTTGACATTTTTTTCTTTTTCTTTTTGTTGCTGTTTTGTTTTTTTTTAAATCGAGACAGGGTTTCTCTTTGTATCCCTGACTGCCTTGGAACTTGCTCTGTAGACCAGGCTGGCCTCAAACTCACAGAGATCTTCTTGCCTCTGCCTCCCAAGTGCTAGGGTTAAAGGTGTGCACCTCTGACATTTGCAAGGGTTTCTTCTTAACCGCTCAGAAGTGACCGCCTTAAAGGTGATGGGTCGGGGGTAGCCTGGTGGCTTCACTTCTCCCTGGGGCCCCATGAGGACATAATGGAGGAAGCACTGGCCCCCAGAGCAGGCACACATAGAGACCAAGGTGAGCTCAGAGGCACTGTCTTCTTTACAGCCCAAATCGAGGCCATCAACACTCAGGGCCATTATACCACAGGCCAGATTGGCCCAGCAGGATGGCTCCCATGACCCCAGTCAAACCTGGGTTAGGACTCTGGTTTTCAGAACAAAAGCAGGATTTGTAAATGAAGATACCGAAGGTAGGAGTGTCCCATCCAGCTGCCACCTAGAGTCCCTTAAACAGTACTGACCCTTTCCGTAAGGAGAGAAGAAAGGATTTCACAAATTCTTTAATTTGACCTTGCTAATCCCCATGCCTACTGAAATGTCACAAAAATACTCTATTTTTTTTTAACTTGTCATGTTTTGGGACTATGATTTCGTAAGAAATATCACAATTCCCTTTAAAATGTAAAGATGGCTGGTTTTTTCATTCTACCCCGGGAAAGTAAGAAGTGAGAGTCAATTCTTTTAAGGTGTGGCTGCTGTTGTCTTTGAGAGTCATCTTTTTCTAGGGATGTGGGTAGAAATGATTTCAAACTCTTTTTCCATACCAACGCAAGAAAACAGGGCCACCCCAAACAAACAAACAAACAAACCAAAAAAAAAAAAAAGTTCCACGCGCTATTTAGGATCCAACATTTGGGCTTCCCACACACAGGGCTTGGAAGAAGGGAAAAGAGATGGTGACTGGTTGGGGAGCAGGTGTTTAACAATGGGCCAACTGGCTTGAGAGGCAATGGTGGTCACCCCAACTTCGTATCAGGACTCACGTTGGCTTCAACTCTGTTCTCTTGGGCAAGTTATGAGGTCAGTATCAAGAATTTGCCTAGCGTATGCAAGGCCCTGTACAACTCGCCACAATTCATCCTTCTTGCTAACTTGCATCCTTCCTCTAGAGGGCAGGGAAAGAGGCTCTTGGGCTCGCAGAGAACTTCTCCTGGCCCCACTACCTCATCAGGCCAGCCCTGCTCCCCTTCCCTGATGCTGGCCTCTGTGTTAAGAGGAAAAGGAAATGATTTAAGGAGCTGCATGCAACTGGCAGATGAGCTTCACAATGCATGGAAGTCCAACCACATTGGAGCTAAGACCCATCTTAAGCCCCCTACAGGAAACAGGTTTTCCAATTCTATCATCAGCCCCAGCTATTTAGACAATTGTGGGTTCTTCATGCCTCGGTTTCTCCACCAGTAAAATGGGGCCACTAAAAATATTTATCCCATGGGGGATGTTATGAGACCAAATGGGGTTTCTATAAAATTGCCCTGTGTGTCTGGCACACAGAAAGGGGTAGCTTTTGGCAGAGGGTTCCTGCTATCTCTGGCTGCCACCATTTCCTTCCTTTACATTCCTTCGAGGACCCTAGAAATGAGAGGGTCAGCACTGGTGTCCCCTTACTCTGTTCATCCCACCAGAGCGGCCTCTTGTATGCCTCCTTTCCCAAAGCTTGTTCCTGTCTCAGAACAAGCATGGTGCCCACTCTCAGGCACACAGCAGGGCACGATGTTAGTACCACTTTCTGCTGGGAAAAAGACTGAGGTTGGCAAGGCCAGCGACATGCCCACAGTAGGACCAAAGCTTAGAAGAGGCTGGGGGTGGGGGTGGGCGCCACTCACCAGCCACACCATGAGGTAGGAGAACACGGCGATCCACAGTGTGGCCGTGACGAAGGTGACCATGAAGAACTTCTCCCAGCGGGGCTTGCTGCAGTTGGGGATGGTGACACACAGGAGGAAGATGAGGGGCCAAGTGAACACCCACTTAGCCTTGTCGCCTTTGGCCTCTGCGAAGGGGTTGGGGTAGAACAAGGGGTGGAAGAGAAAGACACTGGGTTACACGATTTCTTGTCCACTCCCGGTTTATTGTTTTCAAGTTAAACTTGGCGTGACTTCAAGCAACCGGGGCCACGGGATTGTCCTCTATCGTGTCACTTGCAAGTAGCAGGAGGACTCAATGCTTGTTGACTGACCCACTTAGGCTCACTGTAATCCTTAAGCTGACCAGACAAGGAAGGTGAGCCAAGCAGGGATGACACCTGTCCAGGGAGCTGGGAGGGGAGGTGGGACATGAGTTCTGGGATCAGACAGCTGGAGGGATCCCATCTATTCTGCTTGTTCCTCTGAGGATTAGGGTCAAACTAGGACAATGACAACATAGTAACTAGCCTGTGGAGTGTGGCAAGCCCTGTGCTGAGCCCTTTGTATCTTGCTGTCTTCATCTGTTCATAAGAGCATTCTCTCTGTCTTCGTGGTTGCAGGAACGGTGTGACATAGAGTGTGGGAAGCACTAGGCACACGGCCCAGCACATAGGAGGAGGGAGCAGAAGCTGGAAGGCACACCAAGAGCTCGTGTGCAAGACCCTGAAGCTGGTGGAAAGCATCAGTGTGTTCGTGCAAGAAAGGCACATGTTGGGGTCAGTGAGATGGCTCTGTGGGTCAAGGCTCTAGTGACTTATTGCACAACTAACTCCTAAAAATGGTTCTCTAACCTCCATACAACACATCCCTACCTGCACTCACACACGTGTGCACACACGACAAAAACAAAATATTCTCTCTCTCTCTCTCTCTCTCTCTCTCACACACACACACACACACACACACACACATTTCTGTATGTATTTGATTTGTTTGGGTACATGGGGTGTATGTCCCAGCGCTGGTTCAGAGGACAACTTGCAGAAGCTGGTTCTCTCCTGCCATGTGGGTCACTGACCTCAGTCATCAGGCCTGATGCTGACGCCAAGAGCCAGTACCCTATGAGCCATCTTATTGGCTCTCAGATATTTTACAAACAAAGTATACATACTCTCCTGAGTACCCACAGACAGTTCTCTAGAATGGACTGAGTGTAGGGCTGTAAAACAAGACCCACTGAGTTTAGGACCGATATCAAACACTATGTGCTTGCTAACCTCAAAGGAATGGAATTAGAACTCAGTAATGGGACCAAAATCAGGCAGTGTATGCTTGCTAACCTCAAAGGAATGGAATTAGAACTCAGTATTGGGAGGGAAAATGGGAGATTTGTAAACACGGGGGAGTTACATAGCACAGTTCTAAGCAACTGACATGTCAGAGAAGAAATCACAGGGGAAATTAGGAAATACTGGAAGAAACAGAAAACAAAATGCAAAATGTCAAAACACACAGGATGCGGTGGAGACAGGCCCAAAGGAGACTCCTAACTGTAAATGCCCATGTTGAAGTGGGAACCACTTAAAGCCCAGGACATTATGCTCCTCCCAAGACAAGACAGAGAAGCGAGGATTAAGTTCAAAGAATGCAGAAGAAAGGAGAGCCCCTTGAAGGATCCCTGGGGCATGAGAATAGACAGGCTGGCTAAACTAGAGAACCAGTCTCAAAAACGAGGCTGATGGCTCCTGAGAAATAAGGCCCAAAATAGACCTCTGGCCTCCACACAAAAACACTTCCTACACACATGTGCACCTGTGTGCACATACAAGAGAAAAGGGTTTTGAATGGCCCATTCTCCAAAGACACATACAAATGGCCATTAAACCTATTTTATAATGCCCAACACACAAACTAATATATATATAAGCATATATATATATATATATAAATGTAATATTCTTTAGTCATTAAGAAAACCCAATTAAAATTATTTCATACTCATAACTGTAACTATAGTAAAAAGGCATAACAAATATCGTCAAAGATGTGGAAAAGTACAACCCTCACATACTGGTGGAGCAAACGCAAAATGTATAGGCTCCTTAGAACGCAGTCTAACAGGTCCCCTAAAGAGTTCAACAGAGTTGTTTCACGACCCAGGATCTGGCTCCTCCACACACCCGAGAGAGATGGAGACAAATGCTCACAGTCACCCCCAAATGGAAACAACCCAACGATAACTCCAGTGAGGAAAGCATAAGCCAGCTGTGGTCTGTAAGGCCAGGGGAAGAACTGAAATACAGAGGCAGGCATGCCTCAGCAGGGAGGGGCACGGAAATGATTATGACAAGGGGAAGTCAGACACAAAAGCCACATAGTGCTAGGCTTCATCCAGACGAGATGTCCAGAAGCAGAAAGGAGCCCAGTGGTGCAGGGAGAGAGGCAGGACTGGGGAGTCTTTGCTTGTGGGTGTGTTTGGTGATTTTTTTTATATAACAAAATATTTTGGAATTATATACTGATGATGGTTATATTGTTCTCTGAACACAGAAGGGAAATGTGCCCTAAAGGGTCTATTTTATGGCATAGGAATTATGTCTCAGTTTTTTTAAATTGCAGAGCAGGTTGGAGCTCATCAGTTTCAGAGCTGTCTACGTGCACTTTATTATCTCCTAAATAATCATAATTGAAGTGTGTTTGCTTACAAAAACAAAACACAAATCAACAATGACAACAGACTAACCCAAGCTGCCTATAAGGAGCAAAGAGAATGGGGTTAGCTTGCAGTCAGCCAGCCAGCTGGTTATCTGGCCAGATGATGCAATCAGGAAAACATCTGTCTCCTACCTCATTCTAAAGGCACCACTCCATACCAGGAACCTCCAGCATAAACAGGAGAACGGTTTCTGTCCCATGGTTTGTCCCAAATTCCAGGCTCCCCTCTTGCCAACTACATCCCGACCCATTTGGGCTGCTGAGGCAGGCGGAGGCATTCTAAGGCTCCATACACAGCAGGATTATTCACTTTGGGGAACTGTGGCCTGGCCACCTAAATACCCAGGAACCTCTCTGCAGACAGACACAAAAACGGTGGAAGGATACATTTCTTCTTTCATAGACACCACATCTCATGAGGCATTTGTCCTTTTGCTGGTACGAGTTTTGCATATTGTTTTGACATCTGTCATCATCTTGGTCTCACCCAACAGCTAGCATCAACACCCACCACTGGTTTCCTAGGAAACAATCCTCTAGCGGACCCTGTCTCTGCTGCTGCTGTGGTTTCTAACAGTCAGGTGTCACATACTGGTGGATGAGAAAATTCACTTTAGTGGGTGGAAACCAGCATCTCCTTAAAAAGAAATGGAACATAACGGGGTTACACAGGGTGAAAGCTACATATCATTCCATGAAACCAGGGTATGTATGTTTGTGTGTGTACGCACACCCATATACGTGCATGTATGCGAGTAGATAGGCCAGAGGTCAATCTTGCGTGACATTTCTCGGGACTTACCCACCTTGCTTTTTCTCTGAACTGGGTGTCATTTTCCCCAGGCTTGTTAGCCTTCGAGTCTGTCTCCATTTTCCCAGTACGAGGACTACAAGCACACACTACCAAGAAATAATTTTAAAAGGCTGTGAGGCCACAGGATGGTGGGAAAGATGTCTATGTTCGTCCCTGAAGATTCAATGCTGATGGCTCAGTGGTAGCCTTCTTTCCTCCCAGTGACAGCTACCTCAATGCTGCTGGAAGCCCCTCCTAGTGCCCAGCCTTTCCCTTCTCATGCACCGCTAGGGAAAAACACCATCACGGACTGATGGATATGTCAACACCAAGGAGATCTTGTTTCTTTCCCTAAGTCTCTGATTTCTCTCTTGAAGTAGAACATTGCAATTTAATTATGTGACAGCAACTATTTAAAATGAGCTGTAATGGAACAGATGGCCCGTCACACCAGAGGGACAAGAGCACATGTAGTAGACGATGAAAACCTCACATTCATTTGGGTGGATCGCTAATTAGACACTTCAATTAAGGGAGTGACCAAGTTGTGTGGTCCTGGGGGTGGACTGCACCTCTGGCTGCTGGAGAGATTTTCTTGGGTCCTGGAGCAAAGTATCCACATGGTTGAGACTGTATCACTGCTTCTCAAACACAGAGCCCTGCCGAAGGATTTTACCTGCCTACAGGACTGATGCTTTGGAAGGTCTGGATGAAGGGGCTGAGAATTTGCATTTCTCAGAAGAGATTGGATCTCCCCTGTGTTGTTCAGGGTGGCCTCCAACTTCTGGCTCCTCCTACTCAGCTTGCAGTAGCTGGAGCCACAGGGAGCTGTTACTTAAGATACTTATTTTTGGGCTGGAGAGAGGGCTCGGTAGTTAAGATCACTGGCTGCTCTTCCAGAGAACTCAGGTTTGTTTCTCAGCATCTTTGTGGCACCTTGCAACTGCCAGTAACTCCAGTTCCAGAGGATCTGATGCCTTCTTTTGGCCCTGCCCACCCTCTGCCCAACCACTTCCCACCTCCTCAAGGCTCCTCAGGCTTATTAAGAAAAGCTGAACATTCAAATGAAGGCTCTCCCTTTGAGGACCTTGCCTGGAGTTCAGAGGTCCTGGAGTGGGTTAATTGTTTGATGAGTGTGAGAAACCCCAAGGGATTGTTTGAGGACTTGCTGGTCCCATCCTGCACTCTCAGCAGAGTGGGCTCTGGTGCTTACCAGCCACAGACCTAGCAGCAGGTCCTCCCTTTCCATTGTCTGTACTATTTTCACTGAAGTCAAAAGAGGGCATAACCAGAGACAACCACTTACAGACAGGCAGACCTGGGTGCCAGTCCCAGCTGTGGCTCCTATTCACCTATATGGGGCCTTCCTAATCTCAGACTCCTCACTGGGGAAATGGGAATCCACCAGCCCTTCCAGCGGTGCCACTGGCAGAGTCCAAGCACAAATATGAGATGTTTAGTGGAGACTAGGGACCACTGCATGAGGGGAAGAACCCTGTTGTGTTGTCTACCCTTCCCTCAGCCTCACTAGACTCTGTGGGCTCCCCAGGCTCCCCCGCTCCCCCTGCCTCCTCCCTCAGGCCTAGGTTAGCAGTGAAGGTGTTTTATTGCTTCTCCAACTTCACCATGACTGACCCA